CATGTCCCACTGATGGGCAAGTGACTCCTCTGCGCCACGCGGCCCCACTGCCGATTGGCGGACTTTAATACCAATTTCGAAAGTATGCAGATTTCCTCAACAATGTTTTACTTCACCACTGAAATATTTATAAATGATAAGTCAGCACCGAAAATTAATAATTTCATTCGTACTGCCACCGGGATTTGAATTCAGATGGCTCAAGTATAAGATTATTTTAAGAATAGAAGTATAAGATTACTAAGATTTAAAAGTTATAATCAATGTAAAAAGTTGCCTTACGTCGAAAACTCTCAAGGTGAATCTTACAACTCGTAGGCTCAATCGCTATTTGTGTGGGCCATAAATATCAGTTCCGGATCTGGGTATTGTTCCCAAGGATGGTAGTCGGTTGTAAAATCTAGCTAATGCCATTAACAATATAATTCTTATGTGGTGGCGACCCCACCTAGGCGGGATGAGAGCAGGAGAAAGAAAAACACCCGCGGGGGCAAAATGCTTCCGCGCAATCCACAGAGGGTATGGATGATATTATCCGGACCAAACGGTGCTACTGGACTATTTCCAATGAGCTAGCTAGCCCATCGGCTGGCTTCATGCACTGTGGATTTTCGATCCTCGTGTCGATGCGCTTGTGATACGAGGAGGCAAAATCCCAGGCCCATACGCTGGTTCTGGGGGAGATGTGGGAGCGCAGATATCACTTGCGCTACCACGCCATCGAACCGCCACACCTCCTATCTGGTGGCAGATATCCATTAAGGATTCATCCCATGTGAAATCAATGGTGGACCATGTGTTGAGAGGACGTTATCACCCGGAAGAAGGCCGCGAAGAGACTCAGGGAGGCAACTGCCACCGCCGGGGACCAGGTGTTAGGAGGTTGGCCCGTGCGCGGAACCTTCTCTCTAATAGTGACCCGGGTCGGCAAGCGGGGGGGTGACCGCCACTCAATACGGGACTAAGGAAGGTTGCTGTGCCAATTGCACCGGCACAGCTATATGGCCGAACCGAGTATCATTACACCCAAGAAGAGAACCAGAGTCGTGGAAGATTGCGTTTATATGTTCCCGTGTCCCCGGCCGACGCTACAGAGACAGTTGCAATCGCGACTCCCCCATATCCCAAACTTTCCCACAATACAGTAGCAGGGAAAAGCTCAAATTTTCGATTACACGAGCCTTTGTATAACATTCTTTTTACTATATGCATTATTGACATGGTAACGTATAGTTTATTTGGTAGGATATAATTTTAATATCTCTGTTTATTAGCCGATATCAGCGACTTCAAGATAGATTTCGAAGTATCATTTCTATTTTTCCCATAACAAGCCGACTGTAGTACAATCGTCTTTAATATTAAATTTTTTACCCGACAGTAACTGATTTGCCTTGATTGACCGTGTTAGGGCAAACTGAAAATACACCCAATTGAATCGACGTCCAATAACCTAATAAAAACCAACTCGTATAGTACAACGAAGCATCTTGAAAATAAGTCAAAAATTTTCTAAATTCAATGTAAAAATGAACTGTTTATTGTCGTCCGAAATTCAGCTTAATTTCCAATTTAAATAAATTCCCGTATGGACATCTAAACTGGCGTAATAATTTTATCTGAATAAGGGACTGTTATTTTTGTCACTGTGCCATCCGCAGTGAGTATATTTCATTAAACAAAACGTAACTATTGTCATTTCTATTTTATTTTAAAACGAAGAAATTAAATAATTACTAAGTATTCTAAGCAAAGATTTTGTACAAATGATTTTATTTTTTTATACACTTGACTAGTCCTTTTTTTGCAATCATATTAGCTAGCAATCCATTAATTAATAGATAAAATACGTTGAGAGTTTCGTCAGTCATCGTAGGTATTGTAATCAGCCGGAAGAAGGATACGAATCCCGCAGGGGCGAAAAACTTTTCGTGCATCTTTCTACAAAACCTTAAAGTTACATCTTAATAACTTAATGTTAAAAATATATTTTTGCTACTTAACTGTTGACTTCATCTGGAAAACAGAGGATAGTACGCACTGCGTACTAACTTTTATGGATTTCAAAACCCTAACCACTTTTTACTGTCACCTTCCTTTCCTTTTAAGTAAACTAATGTATTTTGTTAAAGGTAACTAACTTTAAGTCACTGGCTCACTACTACACAAAGCTTCGAAAGGAGTACGTCCTTACCGCACCGCGTCTAATGTCAGACTGCCAGACCTGTGCAACGCCCTCTACTGGTCCACATGAGACAATGTATTATATATATTGCGTAGATACAAACACTACACTCAATAAAGCTATTCAAACTTAATGATATTATTCATGGGTAATACTTGGTAACAGGGAGCTGGCAAGAATAGTTTTCCTGGAAACCTCCCTTCTGGAAAAATAAATGAGCGTAAATATGAAGATGTTCGTGCTACGTCCGGTCTGTCCACCATGTAAGCCAAAAATATCTCTCGATCACTAACTATGCTTAGTCACTGGAAAAATACACATCCTCCATCGACTTTGAAAATACACAACAAATTATTGATGGATATCAATGAGATCTCGACGTGCACAATACACATATACATATTTCAACCAAGTAATGTTGCGGCCTAAGCATGTCGTCTCTCCTCAGTACAAAGGGTTTAAGAGCATAGTCCACCATGCGTCCCCGCCGCGGTTTGGCGGACTTCACATAGTTTCGAAGAAACTTTTTGACTATTAAGTTTTCCTTCACCGATGAGCACAGAATGAATAAAAACTTTAAATACCTATCAACAATTTCATTAGTGCCGGCACTGAGATTTGAACTCACATTACACGTTCATATAAAGCTAACGGGACACTGCGATATCACGGCAACATAAATATAATAGATTAATAATTGATAACATTAACATAATGACACAATCCACCTTAATAAACTGAAGAATTGTATAAAAGCTAGTAACATATTAAATACTTTATTTCTATATTTTACATGAAATATACACGTTCCTATTCGTAACTGAACTCAAAGTAATCATTTATGATTTATTATACATTGTACAAATTTAACTATGGTATGCCACAGTTTATATTCAGGTAGTTAACAATATTATGAATATAATTACGAATCTGGATACGGAATTAAAATTTATATTGCACATCACATAGCATCACAATTTGTAGTTATTCACGTTCGTTCAACCAATTTGGTTATTGCTGTCGGTGTCGTTATTAAAGTTCTGTTTCTTTTTTTACTTTTTAGATCGTGCTGATTGTTCGGCTATAAAATTAAAAATCAAATCAAACTAAATCAAATAGTTCTCTAAAAACAAAAAGAAATGAACTTCAACATCGGTTCGTAGTCACAAATCCCTATACATTTCATTCTCGTTTATGTTGACATAGACATCAATTTATGTTAACACGCTTGTACCCATTTAAGTAAACAACTATTAAACATCACTTTGTACAATCCTGAAAAATCTCCCGCGTCTCCCAATCTGTTTTTTCCTTCCAATGCAAACTCCATTACTTTTTACTTATTATTTTTTGGTCTCTAAACTCTAATATTTTTTTTAACCAAAAACAAAACCGACTTAAATATCTCGCTCTGTATTCATTTTATAATTTTATTTTCAGGAGTTCCCTACGTATTACCGGAGTCCAGGATCCAATACAAATGAAATTAATATGGGACCACAAGGGTCCCATATTAGCTTTAAAGCACCAGCTCTCTAATACAAAAAATAATCATCAGAATCGGTTCACTCAGACGAAAGTTCTGAGGTAACAAACTTAAAATAAGTACAGTTAAATTGAGAACCCTCCTCCTTTTTTGAAGTCGGTTAAAAAAAGTTCTCGAAAATAGAAATTAGCATTGTTTTCGAAATATAACCATTCATTCGCCTTAGACGATAAAATACTAATTTGTGATGAATATCGTTTTTTTTTTAAATTTATACTTTATTGTACTCTCATTCGAATGCAATAGAGGATAAATAACAGGCGAGCAAAAAAAATTCCTATTCGTCAATAAACAATACATCTAAATTCAGCGAAATTCGTACAAAAACAATTGACACATGGCCATCATTACATCATAATTGGAGGATGGGATGGCGTCTGAGACAGTAGGCGGTAATATCCTCATAGAGTAATACGGTCTCCGATCTCCAACGGTTAATTAACTCGTGTATATTAGAAGTATAGGCGTATTAGGTGGGCTTTATCCCAGCAATGTAATGAAGATTTTTTTCGGCAAGACGATTTTTCTTTTAAATTTAAAATTCATGAAATAATGAAAGCACAAGCCACTAACATGCATTCAAGGAACCGTGGTTAATGAAACAGTCAAAAAGTTTAGTCGTATGTTGTCGAAACAAGATCTAAATTCGTACCCTATGTATGTATGTACACATTAGTCATTTTCAAACGCAATTTTAATAACTATTAATTTTTTTTAATTTTTATTTTTATTACCCTTAATAAACCTTAAGATCCTTAATCTTAATAAGATAAAATAAAACGAATATTAAAAATATATGTTTTTTTTTTTGGAAAAAGTGAATACGTATACCACCAGAGGAAATCTTAAGCATGGAACTTGTGCCGCTTTTAGGATCTTTTTTACTTAACTTTCACCCTTAAAAAATGTCGTTAATTTTTATTACGGTGCGAAAATTACTCTTCAACTGTTTTGTGATTTTAAATAGTTTCAAAATTTTCACAAAACTTTCATACATAGATAAATAGATCTATCTAAGCAAGCTGTATATTTCCTAGTTAAAAATTGGCATTCGATATGTTCGTTCTAGAAAAGTTTGTTACTTTTTCGTTACAAACGATATCAAAAAAAAAATAAAAACTGAATAAATTGATTAGCCACATTTCACTTGGAGATACGGAAAGGTTTTACTTATTCGCTCCGTAGATTCCTAATGTTTCGTTTTGTTCACCAGTCAAGTGTTGCCGCGAGAAGTGAATTCCCGATAACTTCATTAAAAGCGCCGTATTGATGTTTGGGGTGGGCAAAGTAATTGAGTTGTACGAAATCAAACACATCTTTACGGAACAGAACAGTGGAGGGCCGTCCAGTGTGGCGCCGCGCCGCGATATTGTACTAGGCGGGCAGAACTGCCGGGAGAGTAAACGATACAGGCCAGAAGGTTTTCGTCCCTCAGGCGAGAGTGTCGTGCCCGACGCCCGCTCGTCGCGCTTTCCCTATACTTGAACGTGTTGCGACTAATTTATACGTCCACTCGCGAACTACGATTGTGTTTCGTGAGACGGCAAACGAACCCGTTTAGGTGAGCATAGAACACACACATCCATGGCGCCCTGGTATTATGAATTAACGTTTCAATAAAACATCGCGATAATAAAATGATGGCAGTAAAGATTCTGGCGGATGAGATGTGCCCTAAGTATCCATCAAAGCGACTGTTAAGTATGTATATGTGGAACAGTGCTAAAGTATGTGCCTCGTACTGAGCTTCTATAAAAGCATCATATGGCTTTCACCGGCGTTATGTGAAATTTGTTTTTTATTATCAAATTGTTGCAATAAACATATCATAAATAGAAATCAAATAAATGAAAAAGTAATCGAATGTTTGCAAAAAAAAAAGATAACAGAGTTCAAGGCTTTATATAGTATTCTTTATTCCTCTTAATTACTTAATGGCTCTCGTCGCTTAGTATCGGCGTCCCGTTCTCTCGGAAGAATTAAGCCAACGATTAATGCAAATTACCTGTGTTGGTGGTTCCACCTCTAACAAATGGTTTTGCAATTTTGTTCAAAAGACTCCTTAAGTTATTTCCAAGCAACTTTAATCATGTATAATGTATTTTCCATACTAATTTTTATACATATATAATTATTAGTAATAAATATCGAAACCATTTATTTGTGAACAATAAAAGAAATTAGAAATTTTATATTACACCTTAATTTTTATCAAGTCCGTCTTGATATCACTGGCAGAGACCATTGCAATAATTGCGCGAATCTTTGATTACGTTTGTGCTTATTTCTCATTTCCACCACAAGTAGTCTTAGTCTTCTACTTAACAAAACTTTCAGATGTATTCAGCCGCGATTTTGATAAGCAACTTCGTTAAAGTGGATTGGGGGAAATAAATAACATTTTAGGTAACCAACCCGGAATGCCGCGGAGCTTACGTTTTTTATTTTAAATCTAACATCTATTTACAGTATTAGTATATTGCGATTCATATTTAATTCGCCAGCTAAGTTTTACGCCCATAAGGTTAAGATTAATCAATATACTTGCTACTGTTTAATTTTATTGTCATGGCTCAGCTGTTATAGATCAACGTCTGGATGCTCGACTTTAATTGAACTCAGTCTGAGATGAAATCCCGGCGCCGGTCCTGGAAATTGCTAATCAAATTTCTTAATGTTTATTTTAGACTCGAAAACGGCTCAAATTAGCTTTAATTTGGAGTTGCACCAATAGAATAGTTCACCGTAGAAGCACTGAGGCATTTCTTCGGTTTTCTGTAAGATCATGGCCGAAGGATTATTCATCTAAGTTCCGTAAACAGAGCGAGGTAACCAAGTTGGTAGAGGTCTAGACGGCCAAAATTTCAGTGTGTGGGAGCATACCTGAAACATCTCTGTTGCTCTGTGTACATCCATGGGCGGTGTTCCTCAATTCCTCTCTTACTATAGGTGAATCACTTGCTCACTTGGCACGTCTTTCATATCTCTTTATTTAACTTAGACTCTCTCCAATCTCATACCACCACAGAAAAATTGGCGAGTAAATTCATGGTTGTTTATAATTATTTTATGACGTTTTCATAGTTTCGGACAAAACAATCATTATCGGCATAAAATAGGCGGTTGGAAGTAGTCATGCAGGAACATGATAGGTACTACTCATATAATCGTTTCCACTTTTATTAGTGCTTAATAACATGTTATTCTACATCACTTTAAAGACCTTTTAAATTAGGATTTATGATAAATGGTTTCGGGAAGTCCAAACATAAGTCAGTATCACCGACCCCGACATTTAACACACTGAATGAAAACACATAATACGTTACAACTAATATTTACAGCGACGAAAACGTTAAAAAGTTTATTTGCTTGAGAGATTTCTATCTGGTAGCGGCGGGTCTAAGTACATCTTGTACATATTGCTTATATGTAATATATCTATAAACAAAATGTGAAATATAATCTAATCTAATAATTTTTATGTAGATCTGTATTAATGATGAGCATTTAAATATTTTTTTCAAATATTCGTTAAGGCAGCCTCGACGCCACGTAACGGATTATACCGTAACTAATTACCCGTGAGAAAATTCGCAACACACCGAGATCTGTCACTGAACTTTTAAATAATTATGTATAAAAATATTTTAAATTAACGGTTATTTGGAACTATTTTGTTTTTCAGTCTACTTTGCTATCTCGTACTTAAACATAATATTGGCATTTTAATGCATTCTTTACAAGAAATTTTTAAAAGATTAAAGACACTAGTAATTGCGTGAAAGAGTAACAAACATCCATCCATACATACAAACTTTCGCCTTCATAATATTAGTAAGGATTAACTTGTTTATTTTTCGTCAATAGGCAAACATAAGCGTTATAACGGTATTTGAGTCAATAAAATTTGATGAAGTATTGTTATTATCGTACACCTTAGAAAAATAATGTATAGAGATTTTCAACATAAATATTGTATGGGTTGTTCAAATTTCTGTACCAATTTCTTTCAGTTAAGACTTATTTCCAGAATAATGCATGATTAAACATTTACTTCTTTATTTTCACTCATACGGTATTCGGTAATAAATAGAGCTTACGCTTTTGCCTATGAAGGCAATTCAAAATTAATATTTGCATAAAATTAATACAGCTGATGGTTTGATATAATAATTTTAAAATTAGTTCGAAATTTCACCTTTTTAAATAACTATAGGTATACCTAATAAACATAAGACACATGTTTATTATTGTAACAAATAACTTAAAACCAAAACGCTAAGCATGAATACAAAATTTAATCCGGTTTTATTTTCTTCAGGTGAATGAGACCTTATAGTAGAGTATAATATACCTACATTACCTTGACACCATCATAAAGATATTTTATAAGTAGGATGGAAGTCTTTAGTCAAACCTTTAAATCATTTAAGGTAAAATAACACAAAAATTTATTTTACAATAAATCCATTCCGATTTGATGTTTTTCAACTAAATAAAACAATAAGGGTATTCGCTTTTAATATATTATAATAGTATACGAAAGAAGGTTTATTCAACGAAATCAACATCCAACCTAATTTTTCTACTCGAATTCGGTGATATTATTCATTTTTAGGGTTGCATACCCAAAGGGTAAAACGGGACCCTATTACAAAGACTCCGCTGTTTGTATGTCTGTCCGTCTGTCACCAGGCTGTATCTCATGAAACATGATAGTTAGACAATTGAAAATTTCACAGATGATGTATTTCTATTGTTTCCGCTATAACAACAAATACTAAAAACAGATTAAATAATATGTAAGTGGAGCAAAACAATGAAAAAATCACGTCTGTTGTATGTGGGAACAAACATGATATTTTGCCGTTTTTATAGATAATGATCGGGTTCCGTAGGATTTCGTGCGCAAGTCCGACTTGCACTTGGCCGGTTTTTTTTTATTTGGTATTGTCGATTAATCTGAAGCTGTGTTGATTTTTCCAATTAAATTGGGAAAATGAATTTTTTTGGTGCACTAGGGGGCAGGAGCCATTTGTGTTAGCCAAATTTAAAAATTTAAAAAAAAAAAAGGTTTTATGAAAAAAAAGGTTTTTAGATGCCTTCGATCAATGCTAGCTAGGACTGAAAACAACAGATAGTTGCAAATCACATTTTAAAGAACTTAAAATATTGACTTTGTCCCCATTACACATCATAGAAACAGTTATGTTTATTAGGTCTAATTCCAATTTATTTTCAAGCTTATTTGATACCTTCTTTATTTTCTGATTCCTAGGTGCTTATCACCAAGGAATAGGCGTGATCAGTTCAGGCTCTGCCTTCATGGCGCTAGAGCTGCTCTTATGCGTAAGAGCATCTTTTGCATGTCACCGATAATTTTTAACAAACTGCCCAAATCGAGGAAAGAAATTAAAATTAAAATTAAGTAAGAATTAAATTAATTACTTGATCTTAAAAGACAATTAAAGAATTTTTCAATTAAACGACCATACTACAATATCTTTGAATTTATGAAGTAAGACAATTTTTCGTAGTATGTATAATGAATTTCTTACTTTAATATAATTTAATTTGCATCATATTATGTACTAAAAATTTTGAACCGTTTGAATAATCATGTGTTATTTTAATATTGACATTACTTATTATATCAATTTTATTAATTAATTTCGTAATTAATTTTATTATGACTGAATAACGACATGTGGCAATGTTTGGTAATAGTATAAAGTTTGTAATGAATAATATCGCCGTGAATGCTCTTGTAACCAATTTGTATGCCGTGATACGCCTGAACATGATAGGACAATGCATATTTAATATCTTGCATGCAATGTATGTACACCATGTTTTTACAAATAAACTCTCTATCTATCTATCTATATATTTATGAAAAAAATGTTATATTCATTTCCATTCCTTTCATTCGGATTGAAGCAAGTTAACATTAAAAATTCATCTATTACAAAGAATGATATTTCAAAAATGCTCATAACGAAAATTACGGAGATGTTTGTAGTTATGTTTGATTAAGTACCAACGGAAACGAACAATCATTTAATACAAACAAACTAAATACCCTTTTTGTAACTTGTTCAGTGATTTAAAGAAACACGTCATACTGTTATCTAATGTGAACTATTTTTTCCCAACATTATAGTTCTTTTAGGTGCACTAGTATGCATACTGAATGAAAACAATTATTCCTGTATTGAGTTCGTAATACACCTGGAATAATAATAGAGAAATCATTAAAATGCAACCACTCTTAAAGGCCAAAGCTAAAAGGTGTTTAATATTCCCGTCCACACTGGCTAACAATGGAAATCTTTTAAGTTACCCAATCACTTTCGGTTTCACAGTGACATTTCGATTGGAAGTTTAAACTTTACCCTGATATAATGATATTTTATAATACCCATGGATTTGCAGTTCCTTTACGTTAATTCAATAGGACTTCATTTAACACCTGTGAA